GTCATGAATCGAAACCGCAGTTTCGATCAATAAATCTTCGGTCTCCGACCGATATCCTCGTTCTTATTCTTCTTGTTACCTTATGGAAAAATCACTTTTCTCATTCACTAATGGACCAATTGCTTTGAAGTTTTCAGTGGTTGAAGATTTTTTTTCTTTTATTTGTTCCTAAATTTACTGTAAGATCTGATATTTTAGCTAAAATGTGCTGTATAACTTTGAATTAGGGGAACAAGTTTTTATGATATCGTGACGGCTGGTACCGTTACACTACTGTGACAGATTGCATACCCCTACTACAGCGTTTTGGACCTTGTGTATTTGAGCATCGCTTTCTTGCTTATGTAAGACTTGTAGAAATCTTTATTACTTATATATTGTTACAAATTATAAAAGCAACACATCATGTTTACCAACTTCACGCAGAACAAGGCTCTAACAAGAAGATACTGATAGGTAGGCTCGAATCTTTCTTCTATTCAGCATAGCCTGCCTAAGTCATGAGATTACAACAGACTAACAGATATTTCAACAGAGTATACACAATGACAGCATTTTTATAAAATAAATCAAATTTGAACTTTAATCTAACCTTGACATTGATAAAACAAGTATCTCCTCCAGTTGTAGTCATGACAGCATCATGTTCAGTTCGAGCCACCAGTTCAATATTATTGCCTAAATCCCATTTTCTATAGCGATATGCTACGGATGCAACATTGCTGGCATCTTGATCTGATAAAAATTATGAATAATGATTTAACAGATAGAGCAGTGATTTTCAACCTTTCTTGTTCCACGGAACAACTTTTTAAATCATAAATTGCTTGCAGAACACTAAATGAAAATTTCAGAAATAAAAGACCCGATGAACTAATAATTGTATTGATTTTAACCTCAATCAATTTTGGCATAGAAAGGAAATTGTGAAAAGACCTATATCTAATAGAGTTGGAACAAGACCTAACAAATTAGAATTAGTTTTCCAGTGTGCATATCTCTCCCAACAGAAGTTCCATAGTTTCTTTCTGTCAGCTCTTCTCAGCTTGTGCATTTAGTAAAGGACTAACCCTAGACCAAACTATGCAAAACCGTAACTTTTATGTACAGGCAAATACTTATACAAATGTATGCAGCATATTTTTCATCTTTGTATTTAATGACTTGCAACAGTCTCTCAATTTTTATTAACCCTCATTAAAATTGGATTCATAAAAGAATTTTTCAACAAACCTGGGACAAATGGATTGGCACTGCCAAACTTATGCTTTTCTCCTGGTTTTAAAACTTGCTGAGAAAAATTATGATTGATGAAAGTTGCTTCAAGTGCCAAGTTCCCTGGTGAATTAATTGTATTCTCCTCCTAAATATACAAAAATAATTGATTTCAAAAACTGCTAAAAATGACACTAAAATTCATTAAGATGCATTGTCAAAAATGTGTCAACGATTTCGTAAGATCAGGCAATATTTTAAACAGGGGTTAGCGCAGTAGTAATCAACAGAGACTCATCGGTGTCCTAGGGGTCTATTTATAGTTCATACAATTATTAATCAAATATTCAATGTTTTTTGCATAAGATAATTAAACTATTACGAAGGGATTCCTCTGGCCGCTGGATGTTTTTTACGTTGGAATTCCACTGTTGAAAGTTGAAAACCGCTGGTCTAGTATTTTTGATTTTGATACAATAGTCATTTAGAACACGACTTCTGCCACCTACTTAAAATGAGCACAATATCATGAAATGTACCAGAGATTCTTTAATTCTTAGAAACTTCAGTTACATTCAGGAAATCATTGCATTTTTTTATGCCTTTTTCTTCATTGTAACCATCCATCATAAGACATGTTCCAAATTTTATATTGGCTAATATGATAAATACTGAAAGATAATATACCTGCGGTGGTTCATTGGCAGTTTCGCTGACAGTCACAAGATCAAACTGAGAGTCATCTCGCTTGTCGAAAAACAGTTTGTTCCGTCCAACACGTTGGGCGATGACATCCCAAGAATATTGGGATCGTGTGCAGCACATTAGAGTCGCCAATATGGTATCTGTAGCATATACATTGCCATGTGATTTCGCCAATCTTCGAATAATAGGATCATCAGTTGTTGTAACCTATTGAGTGTATATTTTTGAATGAAGAAACATTTTAAAATTCATGATTATAAAAATAGTATATTGATATTTTAATATTGCCATTCCAAATTTCGTTAATTTAATAAACCGTCATGACTTGTGCATCATACAAAACTCATATTAGCTATTATCATAAGTTCCTACTATGCAGTAAATCAGATGAGATATTTTGAATTTCCAATAACATAAGTAGTTAACTATTAAAGATTTAAAAAGAAATTCCATCAAAACACTAAGACATCCAAACTGAGTGAAAAATATTTTGTAAACCTTGTGAAAGATCCTCTTAACACGTTTTAATGGACGTTCTGCTTTGACACTGACACGATCATAAGATTTATCATACTGCTCAAGAGCTCCACACACAAACAAATCCTTTGGTTCACCGATATCAGGAAGCTTGAGTTTGGAAAGACGAGTGAAATCCATTTCTTCTTTGACCTGAATTCATTTATTTTCAAATTCAAAGAGTAAATTTGTTAAAATATATCTTGTAAGCAGGTTATAAATATTGGGTTATATATAGTAAAATCACAAACAAAATGCAATCCATTTACTTTACTTCATTAGCACAAACACCAAAGAGGTTGAAAACCAATTCCATATCAAAATATTTTTATAAAAAAAGAAGCTTTTGGCAAGTGGGAGTGAGGATTGAACTGATCAGACTTATCTATAATGAGACACTAATCATTGCATAATACAAACCTCCCAATCCTCCAGAACTCTAACAGAAGCATCTCTTCTTTTCTGTTGATTCTGATATCTATTGTTACCCCATCGTAGTCTTGATTGACCATATTGCTTCTGCATTTTTCTTTGAAGTCTTTGCCGATCTCGCTCTCTACTTTTCTCCAATTTAGTGAGAGGAAGTTGTCCAATTTGATTTGCACCATCTCTCTGCTGCTGCCGTTGCTGCCTCTGTTTAAACTGGTTGTATCGCATCCTATTCCTCTGGTATGGAGGCTTTTGAATCTGAAGAAGAATTCAATAGCGTATAATAAAGTGATGTATATACACATGATTTAAAGTTTATTTTATTTATTTTTTTGCAACCAATATTTCTCTGTTATTCAAAACACATTGAGTACCGGTATATTCAATTACATCGTTCTAATGATAAGTGAATACAGTTGGAACCGGTGTATTCCATATAAATAGTAAACACAATTTGTTAAATGGTTACAATATGAAAACAAAAAGGGGAATAACAATTCTGGTATCCTAAAATTAGAAACTGTAGGAACAATTTATTCATGTTATGTTAAATATCCAAGATAAATTTTTGTGCTGCAAAACCATGATATATATATACTCAGTTGCAGCCTGGAAAAATATTCAATATAGCCCTAATATCCACATTTCAATACAAAAAATTCTTGAACAATCTATAAATAAAATCAGTATTGACCTTGGAATTATCCACCAACTGGAAGCTACTTTCATCTTCATCATGGAAGTATGAGTATTGACTTCCACCACCAAATTGTGAGTGATATTTATTCATATACCGCCGATCTGTGTATGTTGTTCCACTCCAATCAGAAACCTTTTATAGGAGAAAATTTAAATTGCATATATCAAAATATTATTTCACAATACACATACATAAACTAGAACAGTCCACATTTCTGCATTCTACCTTCAGACAATTTCTGAAATCCAATATTTAAACATTTTATATTTAAACTTGATTACAGTGGATAAATTCACTTGAAACAGTAAAACGAATTCTGGAATTGATTGGAGATAAGTTATTATTGATAACTCCGCCATGGTATAAAAAATCACAATACATAAATAGGGTTTCGTGTAGTTTCGTACCTAACGTATTTCTAGTGGGCGTAGCATAACAATTTTTTGATATGTCAATCCTAACCCCCATCTGACTAAGCCATCCAAAAATTACGTCACTACGACATCACAATCACGTCATAGAGCTTGCCAAATATACGTACAATCGCCCGAAATGGCATTGGCGCCGACGATAAAGAACTGACTGACATTATCGATCTCTCTCCTATTGGAATCGTTGCGACGAGAAAACGAGAGAAATAACTGTTTGGTTTCGGGTGCTCGTTTGGACGTCTTGGATGGCAGTTCGTATAGTTTGAAGGGCTCTCTTACGTCACTGTGACGTCGTGTTGACGTAATTTTTGGATGGTGTAGTCAGGTGGGGGTTAGGATTGATATGTGAAAAAATTGTCATGCTACGCCCACTAGAAGTATGTTAGGTACGAAACTACATGAGACCCCATAAATACACATGACAAACATCAGAATCTTTGAAACAATATACAAGTACAGAACATATATAATTCTCATTTCGATTCATTCACAATGAATAAAACCTAACAATGAGTTTAAAATGTACCGTATTAAAATGTCAGCAATACCTTTCCCAAACGATCTCCCTTGCTGAAAGGCTGGTATGGCATGTCTTTGAACTTCTCTGGGATTTGCCTTGGACCCCAACCATCAGGGTTGTCCTGGATTATTGGTGGGACAAACTGCGCAGTCATTTTGAAATCAGGAAGGTCAGAAGGTGGAGGACCTGAGACCACCAGTGCCGAATATTACACTAAAATAGTTAAAAGAGCAACTAGATAGAATCAATGGTACTGCCAAGTTTGCTGATCGCTCATTCAAAAGTTACTGAAATACTGCTGGCAAAAATTATTAACCGTAAACACCTCGCCTTCGGCGCACAACTTCGAGCGCCCGCTGATTTCTGTTTTTTTGCCGGTGTTTCGCAACACGTTTTCTACATCTGGAGAGTCACGTGATTCGGATTCGTTCATGGTTCTCTGGCGCTACATGTGGTAGCAATTTGTTGGTTGTTTTGCTCGACGGTTCGGTATTGTTCATTCAGTCAGTTGTGCAATTTGAGCTGTTTTATACCGGCTGTGTTGTTTCAGAAACAAGGGAAACCCGGAAATTCTAGCTAGTTCTTATCTTCTCGTGCATGCTGAAGTCTTCAAATAATTTCCTGAGCCCAAAACCCCACGCTAGCCAATAACTTGAAAAGATGATGGTGAGATTTTTCATTTGTATTACGCTATTGCCGTATACCGGTACGGTATTGTGATTAATTATTCATCGCAATACTACCGTACTGTACTCTTATGGTGTGTAGTTGTTCAAAAGGTTGATATACATGACCTTAACAATTTGAAATTGTTCTACAAAATTGCTCTTTGCTCATCTACAGATCTAAGAAATTGCAGACACCTTCATTAAGTCATTTTATTTTAAACTTAATTCCATATTTACACATTCCTGCATTCTGATATTGTCAGCACTGCAGCATTGTCTGATTTTATCATTTACTGATAAATAGCCTTGATAGTCCAAATGCTTTTTAACAGTGGTCTTGTACATAGCCTACTGACATACTCAATTTCTGAATTTTGAAAACTGAATTCATTAAAATCCATTTAAGAACTCTATATATGTCAAATATTTATTATTAATTTTCATAGGATGGACTTGATGACAGCCCTGACTTGCTCTCTGAAGAAGGAGAAAAATCACAACGGTCAGTCAGTGTGGATCTGACAGATAACTCACTTGTTGTTGATATATCTGATGCTCTCAGTGAAAAAGAAAAAGTTAAATTTACTGTTCACACCAGGGTAATGATGATTTGTCATTGATTCAAAGTACAAATCATTTTTTTTACAGTTTACCATTGGACTAGTTTAAGGATTCTTAAACTTTGATGAGCCGAGGGCCCCCTTCAAACGCTCTCAACACCCCTACTCTTCTATAAAAATACTTGGTATACCCCTAAGGAGGATAAAGGGCCCAGTTTGAGATACTCAGGACTAATTTAACTTTGGACTACATTAATCTACACTTTTTTAATAAAATCATTTTCTTATCTTTTTAGAGAAGACAAAATGAGTGTATGCTTATGCGTTTTCCATCTTTTTTAGTTTTTTCATGCATTGTTTTATATATTACCAACAATTTGAACAATTGAAAAAAAATACAAAAATTTGTCCTAATATTGTGAAATTAACCCTTTTTCATGTTTCAGACAACGATGAAAGAATTCGAGAAGTCAGAATATTCTGTCGTAAGGCAGCATGAGGAATTTGTGTGGCTTCATGATGCTTATGTTGAGAATGAAAATTATGCTGGAATATTGGTAGGTGTATTATTTTACATATCATATCTGTTCAGGTTGTTCTAATTGTATAGGTGTCAGGTCACATACCTAATGATGTATTTCTGTATGGATAACAATGGACACATTATAAAAACATATTCTATTAGAACTTTTCATTTGAAGTACGGTGCTATTTTTTGATGCTTAATAACTAAATAAAAAATTTTCTCCTGATGAAATTCTGGTATGTTATTGCTATTTTTATATTTTGAAATTATGCACAACGTGTAGGATAAGATGATTTATTTAATTTTAACTGATGACCATTATCTACAGATAGCTCATTAAAGGGATTTGTTAATGTTAGCACGCAACTCAATTCTATGGGAAGAATATATTTCAGTTTAGGATTATATTAGAAATTATGTGTGAAATTGAAAAGTATGTTGAGTCTCACTCTGTACTAGCAATGTAACCACTATGCCGAATGACTAACAGGATTTAAGTTATCAGCTTACCAAATATAGAATCCAGCAAATACTTTTCGATAAGAGTTTCATTATGTTGGTTACAAATTTAACTCAACCTGCAGGATGATAGGATGGTACATAAATAACTTTATTTTCATTGTAATTATTGGCTTATAATGCACTTATCATTATTAAGGAATTTCATAAGATAAAATTTCAACAATACAGCTAGCTAAGTGCCCATTATTTCTAATCGTTAAGTGATATTCAATCTTAATAATGTCAGCTGTGAATTCATTTTCATAGAAATTTGAATAATTATCTTACCATCTTTTACCAAATTTGTTTGAAGAAGTCAATGCACAATGTCTTGTATATTGATTATAATCATTACCATATCACTTCATAATTGGATATCGAGTCTTTATATGTATTGATAATGGTACCATGACAAATCTTTATTGTTTGTTACAAAGCAATAGAATACAACGGACAGGAAATGGGTTGCGATCTAGTAGGTCGATTGGTACCTTGCTGGGCTGATGTTGTATGGTATCGACTTAAATAAATTGAAATGCTCACAAATAGGCATGTCTAAAATCAATCAAATATTCAAATACATCAGAAGTTGCAGAACTTATGTTCGATATAGCAAATTCTTCATTTATTTTTTGATTGAAGCTGAATAATTTAATGTTAAAATATGTCCTCTTGATCATTTGACACCTGGAAATTAGGGCCAATATAGTTCTTCAGTCATTCAACTTTTGATAATTTGTAAAGGAAAAGGAAAATTTCTTTGTTAAACCTGGCGCAATTTAGAATGTATTCAAAAATATTTTTAGAATGTATTTGTAATAATGATATATCTGTTTTGGCTATCTGTACTCACTAATAAAATATCCTCTCAATTTATAAATAAATAATAATAGATGTCAGTGTCACCTTTCTCGAAATTTGCTGTTGTTTGTTCAAGTACAATGTGGTTACCCAATTATGGACTTTATTTTTATTATACACTCATATTTACCCAGCTCATATTTACTGGTATAGCCTATCTTAAATAAATTGGCTCGTAAACATTTTTTTCATCACCAAGAAAGTGAACGAAAATCAGCTCATTGAAAATAATGAGCAAAAAAAACTAGACAATTTAGATTAATTTAGAATTGTGGAATAATTAAAACTACTTTCAGAGAGATCATAAAAATAATGATTATATTACCAAATTACCTTACTTGCGTTGTTCAGATTTGTTGAGTACTAAACTTCAAACTCAATTGATCAAGAAACAACAGCATTTTTAAAGATGCCTGTTTAGTATTAGAGAAATAAACTGTCAATAAATTTTTCGAAGAAGATTCACTCATGGTATATGAATGTACTTCCCTGGTATGACTAACTTATTTGTGTTGACCCCTTCATGACTGAACAATTTAAAATTTCCCTATCATGCACCATATACAAAATCTATCATTATTCAGTTGAATTAAAGTGTTTTTTTAGTGTCTTTGAGGCTAGTGAAATTCAGTTAAAAATAGAGGAGAGTTTTAATAACCACTACAATATATCTATATTAACACTCAAGCATTATATTTTTGAATTTGATATATTAGTTTGTCTTAGGTAAATCATAGATACAGCAAGTATAAGTCACTATTTGTTTACCAATGCTAAACAATGATTTATGCAAACACTATACGAAAAAATGTGTGAACTAAAATTGAATTGCTGCTGGAAAAATATCGATGTAACCTAATCATGTATCCTTAGATTCCACCTGCTCCTCCAAAGCCAGATTTTGAAGCATCTCGAGAGAAATTGGGAAAATTGAGCGAAGGTGAAGGATCAATGACAAAAGAAGAGTTCACAAGAATGAAGCAAGAACTTGAAGCGTAAGTGAAGGCAAAATTCGATACACTATCAAAATTTTCTTTATATACCTATTACCTGTTTAAAAAATTAAAAGGATTTTGGGATTTTTTCAAATCATACTTCTAGTGTGTATACTGTGGTGTGATTCAAAATGTTAAGGTTTTCTTTATTTGGAACTCAGTAACAAGAAGTTTCTAGGAAAGTACATTAACATGATGAAACGCTTCGCATAAATCTAATACATACGGTAACTTTCGAGATGCGAAATATAACGGTATTTGGAAGCTGTGATGCATGCTGCGGTTGTCTAACGTCAAAAATATGAACAGGTCCACTTTGTATATTCACTGGATATAATCTTAATGTCCAGGACATACCGGTAGGCTTGACGTAAAACAATATTGGAATATCAAAATTTAAAAATAAATTGTAGTGCACAATTTGCATTAAATATTCGATATCCAGGGTTGCTCATAGCTGGTTTATTCATTACCACAACATTAGTTTCACATATTTAAGAATGCAAAAGTTATGGATTGTTGTAATTCATCTCAATATTATTCTAAATGTTTTGATGTGTATATTATTAATTATTATATGTTGTCAAGTTATATATCATTTCTTACAGGGAATATCTGGCGATTTTTAAGAAAACAGTGGCAATGCATGAGATTTTCTTATGCAGAATTGCAGCACATCCAAGCTTGAGAACTGATAGCAATTTCAAAGTTTTTCTAGTGTATGAAAATGAGGTAACATTTTTCTTCTTTTTCAGTTTGTTCATCATTAATAAAGATGTTTTGTTTTGCAAAATTTGATGTACTATTCTTACTTTGTTATTCAGATATTTAGATGTGATCAAGTGTCCAGATATTTGTGGAATTTACAGGGCCTTAGATATCATATGTATCATTTTATAATGCTAATAAAAGTGCTAATCTATTTATTCACAGCTGAATGTAAGGGGCAAAAACAAAAAAGAACTTTTATCTGGATTTTTCAAGAACATAACAAAATCTGCTGATGAGGCATTGATCTTGTCTGGACAAAAGGTTGCTACATTTTCACTTCTTTTCCTTCTTCTTCAGCTGTACTTCAAATGCTTTAGTATAGACCGGGGATGTGCCAAGATATTTTGTCAGTTAGCCTTGCAGTATTAAATACAGTGGGCAATGTGGCAGAACATTTGACACAGCGAAAAGAGCGAAAAAATTATGTATTTTTATCCATGTGAGTGTCTCTTCAGACCTAAAATTTCGAATTCGAATTTTATGCTTGATGGGAAAACTCTTGAGTGTTTAAAGGCCACATTAAATTGCTTGGCGGGCCAGGTTGTGGCCCATGGGCCACCTGTTGGACACCCCTGGTATAGACTATTAGCTGTGGCTACACACATTCGAATCATTTTTTCTGACGTGGCGTTGGTCATCAATTATCACAGTCCAAGCCAATTCAGTTGTCTTGTGTCAATTTAAATCCAGGAAGTGTAGTAATCAGAGTCGAATCCTTTGCTATTTGTGGCATGACTAACATTCGATCCTTATCAATTCAAGTCTGCATACTTTTTATCATCTCCTGTAATTATGCTCCTTATAAGTGATATTACTAAGATACAATTTCTTGTCTTGCTTGATATTTCATGCAATTAATAGCTATTTTCTTGTCTAGGATACTGATGATTTTTTTGAACATGAGAAATCATTCATCACAGAATATCACAGCAGAATTAAAGATGCAACAGGGAAATCTGATAAATTTACAAAGACTCATAGACGTAAGATTTTTTGTTTTCTGATTACTGAAAGAGTCACAACTGAGAATTTCTGGTAAAATAGATAGCATCTAATTCAACACTACATCACCCACATCACTCTAACTCTAACATACTGATTTGCATTTCCGTATTCAGAATGTGCAGATGATTGCTTGACTATTGCCAGGAATCTGCAATCTTTGGCAACAATCGAATATTCTATTGGAAGCAGTCATCAATCCCAATTCGACAGGTAGTTTCTTAGCAGTTACACTTTCATTAAGCCATCCTTTGACTACGTTCATGGCCAACTGTTGGCCATATATATAGGATTTCTTTATGACCAGATCCATAGAATATCAGAATAAAATACTTGTTGATCATGTGCAATAAATTCTATTAACATGCTGCTAGATTAAGTTGGAACAACAATATGTGGTAAGTACATTCGTGGTCATATTTGTATCAAATTTTGGCAGGTAATAAGGTAATTCATATGCAGATGTTTGAGGTTTTTTTTTCTAAATAAATAGACACTCCAAGTTTCAAACCAAATGTGAAGTCTGAATAACCATATAAACAACAGTTTTAATGATAATAAAGCAGTATAGTTGGGTTGTCTTGTATGTAGCTGTAATATATCTGTAGCTTCATCCCAAAATGCATTTATTTCATTTTTATTATCCTGAATCCTACAGGTTAAATTGCACTCACCTAATCCCTTTGGCTATCCCTTTGTTAAAGCTTTTATCTGTGATTGCCAGGTTCTTGGTTAGTTTTCCTATTTTATACAATAGCAAAGATTTTATTTCTATATGAAGCTTAATTCGTTTAAAAATTGCATATTTGGATTATTGATTACCATGCGGTGGTAGCAACGCAGATCTTGAATCTACCGGCTCATGTTGTACATAATATTTATAAAATATTTATATTCCTGCATACTCAATTTTGTTTTCTATATTCAGGATGTTGTTGAAAGTCCATGACACGTTAGAAAAAATCAGGGTGAGATGTCATTTTATGTTTTTGATAAATTAGATCACCATACTAATCTCAACTAGCATAATTAAAATATATTTATCTATTTTCAATTATGCATATAAACACTGTCAAATTAATTGATACTGTATTGTCTAATTTTTCCAGAAACTGATGTCGAGAGTTTCATCAGATGAAGATTTAAAATTATCAGATCTTCTGCGTTATTATATGCGTGACACTCAGGCATGCAAGGTTAGTTAGACTGTTATTGAACAAATGATTGAATGATATATAAGAAATATTATCCTCTTTTGCTGGACATTATTACATTAAAACATAGTTCAGAATATTTTGTATTGTTTTACTATACAGGACTTGCTATATCGTCGTGCTAGAGCTATGGCAAATTATGAAACTGCAAATAAAGAATTGGATAAAGCAAGAGCAAAGGGAAAGAATGTAAACCAGGTTTGTAATTTTCTCTTAATATTTGCTATATTGAAAATTGAAATATTCTTGAATCTTGTATTTGTTGCTCGCTTATTGCTCATACTGATCCAGTTTCCATTTACAATTTTCTGTATTCAGGCAGAAAAGAATCAAGTTGAAACTCGAGAGAAGTTTGAAAAGCTTTCTGAAGTTGGTAAACAGGAATTAACAGAGTTCAAAGGTCGACGTGTTACAGCTTTTAGGAAGAATTTAATCGAGCTTGGGGAACTTGAAGTCAAACATTCCAAGGTAATTATTTCCCTCAAATTAGTTCTATAAAATGAAAATAAAATTCTCATTTAACTTATGACATGTTTAGTCAGCATTGGTGCTCGTTCGAGACATGTCTGTGAGGTTGTTATCGGCCGGCCAAACATCAAAATGAATTAAGTAGCACCATCAGAATATCATGGCGAACAACGTGATATTTTAGTAAAGTTTCCATTAATTGAATGGGAGTCATTTCCGCTTCATGGCATATATTGTGTAATATTTAATAATTTTGTTGTTGTGCGTACATTTTTTAGAAGAGCACTCTATTTTCCACTAGTGGGAAATTTCCCACCGGCTGGGAACCACTGCTCCATTATGTTGGAAGCTCTGATTGGAGGATACAATAGATTGACAATTGACAGTATCATCTAAATTTACGTCTTTCTGCTAATGGTTGATTCATATTAACATTAGCTACTGCAACAACTATACTCGAGTCTGCATAAAACATTTTTTTTTTCCAGGCGATTGTCCAAGTGCTGAAGGGCTGTCTAACTGCTATTGAGCAGAGTTAAATAGAGATATAGAGAGAGATTATTAGAAGACTAAACGGTTGAATAGAATCGAATCATTCTGATTTTGTTGATGCAAAAACTACTACTTGATTGTTGTTATGATTGATTGATAGATTGATATTTTATCACCTATAGTAGATTTTCTATTCTCTGCCAAACATTTTTGTTGAGTATTTTATGATCTGTTATCAGTGATATGATATCTCTCTAATCTAACTTGAAATGTTCAGTTGCAATATTTTTCATTCTTTGATTTTTATCTTATAATAATGTGATTTTTCGTGATGTCAAGAATTTGGTTTGAGTGAGGTAATTTTGTCTTCATGTTTCGTTATTTTAAAAATGTTACTTGAAGATTCGATATTGAAAAAAGTATATTGTATTGTTCTGTGGTATCACAAAAGCTTGACTATTCATACAGTAAAATCAGTTCCATTATGTTATGCTGTGAATATACACATATGCTAAGAGTGGTAAGTTATTTAGATAATGACATCTCCATTGTTGTGATAAATGTAAATTGGGAGGAGTTTGCTGCCTTCTTTGATATTCAACTTTTAATGATGCTTGACGTTGATCATTGTTCATATATAAAAGCCGATAAGTTAAAAATACAGCGTTCTATTTTTTGCTCTGTTAAATAAATATGTTTATTCAATGATAATATATAACAATATATATCGGAATATACCCATGAATATTACTATTTTGTCATCTCTATTTGTTATTATAGCTATTATGATTTCAGCCAAATCTTATTTACTAGATTGCTATTGAATTTATATTATATCACTTTATCTACCAATCATTTAGATTTATTGTATGATGATTGAGAATTCTGACCTTGTTTTGTTGAAAAGTAAAAAATTTTGATTTCCATTAGGATGCAAGTTTGACTTGATTGGCGATCTTAAATCTTTGACTGATGTCACATGTGATAATCCATCATTATCTCTTATTAAGCACATATTTGAAACCAGCAGTATATCATATGATTTTTCTTACTTCGGTGCTATTGATTCGTTATTTCATCTGATACTGAATTTTAAGAATATCCCAATAGGCTGGCTCGCTGCATTTTGTATGACGAGGATAGATTTACCTATACTTGGAGTATGAGTAAAAAAATCCTTATAAATATTCTGCATCGGCCTATCATTGGAACTGTCAAAGTGATATAGGTGTAGCATCAGTACATTTCTATGTTAATTTCAATGATGCAGTTTGCTATACTTGCTATGATTGGAGGTTTTCATAAAAATAAATGTCATTAATAGGATGTGGTATAGATATTATGCAATTCATAGTATGTTATTATAATCTTGTTTTAATCATCTGTTTTTGATGCTTTTCGACACAATAATGCGACTTAGTGGAATTTCCATTTATTGATAGCTGAAACCTCATCAAAACAAATATTTTTGCGTGGAGTCTCTGTAGACAAATATCTGTTTCAAAATTTTTATAGAGGATGAGAATAACATTTTGTAAGTCATGCTCTTGACTTGGCAGGTCGTCTCACTCATTTTCTATACTTAAGTGTATTCAAAACGTTATATATATATATATAATAAACATAATCATATTCATGATGCATATTTTGTTAAATTTAACGATTTTTTGTTAGTTTACCATCAATTACAGATCAATTCTTTTTCGGTTGAAATGAGTGTTCGCCCTGTGCTGTCTAGAATTTTTTGACAAAAGTAACATGTCTTGGATTGATATTACACTGATAGAGAAGTGCTGTATAGTGGAAATTGATAACTTGATGTTAACTGTGATTTGGTCCGGTGTTGATATATGTTTCCTCAGATCCACATTGAAGATGCCTGAATTCATTTTACTTACTAATAATTGTGATTTTGTGTATGATTCCCATTTGCAAAATAAAAAGATTTATATTATCAACTTTGTCCATTTTTGTGCCGAAGTAATGTGGGGCTTGTCATTGTGCAGCAGGTTGTCATGTATGAGTTCGCAGTTTCGAATCCAATTAGGCACGCGTACAAATGATTTCATTCCATGTAAATGATGGGTGGTTGAGACTTAGACAACCCAAGTTACGAAGTCCGTAACCTTTTTTTTTTTTATATCGACTGCGGTATGAAAGAGGACACATTGTTGTTTCTCCATTAATTTTCACCAACCTTCGTCGGTTCACGAAAATACTATTTGTTAGAAGTAACGAGGTAGAAACTGAGTTATGATTCATATGGGTTTGTGATCTGTTATTAAATAAGAAAGCCGCTCTGAACGAAATTTCGTGACTCTAATGCAAGTCAAAGCACATAAAATTTGTTTCAAGCTTCTCTCGGGGACTATTTTATGCATTTACCATTGTACATTGAAGAAGAAGAGGGCTTTATGACTTACATAAGGAGAATAGCTGAAGATCACCTTTCTCAAGTTTCCGAAGCGGTATTGTGACAGTGAAAAACGGACGTACGTGTAGTGAGTGTATCAAGATAATGTTATGCAACATGCGTGTCATACTATACCAAAACAATCACAGTTTAGTCTCCGTGAATACGAATATATCTAATAAAAATGTAAGTTTATTATAACCCTGGCGGTGACCAATGTTTGGTGATCTCAAACAACGGCGTTCATTTCAAAAACTAAAAAACATCACGATTACCGACGACTAACTCTGTGGTATTTTTGACTTATTACAAACTAATGTAACAATGCGTGGCCTACAAATTTAAAATAACGCCAGTCGCCAAAGTTTTGATTTAGGCTAGGACTGTATGTCTATATCAACATTTAGTGCTTACTATTTATGACTCAAATTCCTGCGCAGTATGGTTCTTCTCACTGGCATTGCAATTTTGTGAACGAATGCATTTAGGAAAAAATCTAGTGTGTTAGGGTTATATTGTAGTAAGGCGTGACACACTATCTAGTAATTGCCGCAAATTATTTTCTCCCTAACAGAACTTTTATCTTATATCACCAGGACAACGAATCCGGTCAACTAGTTGCTTCCCATGTTTTGGACTCCAACAACGAAGAAGACGTATTGGCCCTTCTTGATTTCGTTACCGAGCAAGACGGACGGGACTTGGAACAAAGCAAAGATCTTGATGATCTTATGAAGCAGGAATTCCAGAAACTCGATGCTGATAACGACGGAATGATCCAAGCAGCTGAATTTGACAAAGATCTTAAAAAAACAGAAACATAAGAAAACTTCTCAAAATCTCTTTCACATTTTGCAAGTAGCTAATCCAATTCAACTAGAAATATTTTCAACATCAGGATTTCTCATTGTTAATATATCCAGAACCCTGATAAACACGATTTAAATTTAACTAATTCATTATTGCAATGCTGAACAATAATGTGATTTTTCGTGATGTCAAGAATTTGGTTTGAGTGAGGTAATTTTGTCTTCATGTTTCGGTATTTTAAAAATGTTACTTGAAGATTCGATATTGAAAAAAGTATATTGTATTGTTCTGTGTTATCACAAAAAGCTTGACTATTCATACAGTAAAATCAGTTCCATTATGTTATGCTTTCTTATATTAGTTCTATTACTAGTTCGGGGACTGTCTGTGTTAGCCAATTGACCTACCCATAGGTTTCAGTCCTTTTATACAACTTGATGTAAAGTGAGCGAACAAAATTAGTTACAGAGAAGGTTTCTGAACTGGACATTTCAATCTGGTCTAGAAAATTTCTGATTTGAACCATTTATTCGTAAAATTCTTGTCATTCTCAAAGTGCGTCGTTTCAATTTTGCTAGTCTGAAAAAGTACAACAAATATAGTACTTTGTGTAAAATTGATGTTCTCTTTGCGGCCCCTAAATTCGTTTCGCGGCCCCTAAAATTCGTTTCGTGGCCCCTAGTTTGGGAAGCCCTGGTATACATCATTATCTCTTTAATGCACAGATTTGAAATCAGCAGTATATCATTTTATTTTTCTTATACTTCGGTGCTATTGATCAATTAGTTATTTCATCTGATGCTGAATTTTGAGAATATCCTAATAGACTGGCTCGCTACATTTCGTATTACGAAAATAGATTTACCTATATTTGGAGCATGAGTAAAAAAATCATAAATATTCTTCATTGGCCTATCATTGGAACTGTCAACGTGATATAGGAATAGCACCAGTACATTTCTATGTTAATTTTAATGATGCATTTTGCTAAACTTGCTATAATTCAAGGTTTTCAAAAATTATATGTCAATAATAGGATGTGATGTATAGATATTATGCAATTCATAGGATGTTATTACAATCTTGTTTTAATTATCTGTTTTTGATGCTTTTCGACACAATATTGTGACTTAATGGAATTTCCATTTATTCATAAGTGAAACCTCTTGCTCATCAAAACAAATATTTTTTGTGTGAGAGTCTCTGAAAAAAATTTATTCCTTTCAAAATTTTGAATAGTCGAAAACGAAAATATTTTATAAGTCATGCTCTTGACTTGGCAGGTCGTCTTTCTTATTATCTATACTCCAGTGTATTCGGAATGGTATATATATATATATATATAATAAACATGATCAAATTCATGATGCATATTTTGTTAAATTCAACGACTTTTTGTTGTTTTACAATCAATTCTGATTTGGTTTAACAAATACCCTTTCTTGTTCGGCCAAAATGACTGTTCGCCCTGTAATGTTTAGAATTTGTTGACAAAAGACACATGTCTTAGATTGATATTACACTGATAGAGAAGTGCTATATTGTGGAAATTAATAACTTGTTGATGTAATTTGTTGTACTTGTTCCTTTGTTTAGTCTGGTGTTGATATATGTTTCCTCAGATCCACATTGAAGATGCCTGAATTCATTTTACTCACTAATAATATTATCAACTTTGTTTTTATATTATCAACTTGATTTATATTCACGAAAATACTATTTGTTAGAAGTAACGAAGCAGAAGCTGAGTTATGATCTTTACTGGTATGTGATCTGTTATAAAATAAGAAAGCCGCTCTGAACAAAATTTCGTGACTCTACTCCAAGTTATAGCCCATAGAATTTGTTTCAAGCTTCTCTCGGGGACTATTTTCAGCCTTTACCCTTAATACAACCCGCATTGAAGTAGATCGATCTTCATGACTCACAAAAGGACAATAGCTGAATATCACTTTTCTCAAGTTTCCAAAGCGGTATTGTGACAGTGAAAAACGGATGTACGTGCAGTGTATCAAGACAATGTTATGCAACATATGTGTCCAGAGTCATGCAAATGAACAAGGTTAAGGAATTTAACGTATTTGGGAGCAATTTCTCCACTTTCCAGATTGGACACCCTCGCAACTAGGATGTTTGTGATGCTCTTATGTTGCATAGATTAATATAGGTCGTCTGAAGTTAGCTTCAGTTTGTAGATTAATTTGTATTTATGTATATATTTCTAAGAGTAGAACACAAAATCTGCAACATAGATTCTGAAAAAGAAACCACCATTGGTTCGATCGAAAATACATAGTATCACCTAGTCCTACGCATTCGTGAAAGAACAATGTAATATGCAATTTAGTTGCCTCCTTCGAAGGCTTATATTCCTAATTGACTACTTCATCGCTGTAGCTCAATACTATTGGACATTGAAGAACACTGGCCATGAAATATCTTTTTTAATGCAATTATATTTTTAGAAATAACTATTAATCTCAACTGGGATATTTACAATGGTTAAATTTTTACTTCTTGCCTTATTCCTCCTGTTTGCCGTAGCGGAAATTTCAGGAATTTGCTGTGATCGTGGAAAACACGGTAAGTGTGAAAAATTAGATATTGGTAAACGCATTCGCCGTTTATTTCTGTTTTCTAACTGTATTTTGATATCCGAATATCAAATATGGTCAATTTTGTTTTATTTAAGACATCAGAGATTTTTTTCTATTTGGGATATCTCTAATGCTGATTCAGGATTTATATATGAATACATTCAACGTCATGTCAGATATTATCTGTTTCAGCTATAGGAACCACCTTTCAAGTTTTTCTGATAATGTAAACTCCAATAATCGTATATGCACATTATCTCATTGCACGTGATCGATTGTTTGCAACTACATTTTCAGTGGTAATTCCAATTTCAAAAACGCGTTTGAGACATTGTCTTGATTATTTCTTCACATTTTACAAAAATGAATGATAGGAATTAAACCAATTTTTTATGAAATGTTTTAGAAATGAGAACGTTTTAAACCTCATTATCTCACAGGCTTCTGCAAAGACTGCGCCAAAGTTAGCATATGGCGCCACAGGAAGTGCTGTGGTTCCGGTAGTGGAAACGGGAAGGGATGCAACCTATTTTGCTGTAACTGTGGATCATGTAGGAATGGAAATTCAACGGTTGAATTCCATTGTGAGTTATTGATACTGTTTTGAGATTCCCAAATTGTAGAAATTACCAGTACCTATTATCATTCAATAAATCATTTTCGCCTGCCCACTAGGTAGCATTGCCGTCACATGGACCAAATGAAATGCATCATAGAATAAATTGCTGTCAGTTGGACAATAAACGACCAAGTTATCGTTACGAGTAGGTTTTAATTTCATTCGGAAATACCTTCCTTATTCCTCAATGTCTTTGCCTTACTTACTGGTAATTAAAAAGTAAAATCGTTAGGTTACATGCAACTGTGATGCCTATTCTACTTTTTTTTAGTTTTTCCCTCTTTTATTTAGCTGGTTGGTTCCCACACAAAAAATACTCTTGTAAATTGAAATTGGGTGACCAGAAGGTTCAACTAAAAAATCAGAAAGATCTGAAAAGTACCTGGAACGTGTTCAATGAACTTGATCAAGATGAAGACGGCGCCATATCGCAATCAGAGTTTCGTGAAGCAATGGTTGCCAGATTATTGGTGAGATATGCAGAGAGCACCGCGGTGTACCATCTAGTCTAGCGC